AATGAAAAAAATAATTAAGTTCTTTATATTAGAAATTATTTGCTTCTTGATAACTTCTGTTTCATTATTTAAAAAAATATTTTCAATACTACTTGCATTTTTATTGATATTCTACTTTAGTACTTCAAACATTAATTATCTAAATTCGGAACTGATTATTTTTGCTTTCAGGTGTATTTGTATGTATTGTAAACAATTTTCTTTAGTGATAGTTTTGTGTAATCACAGATTATTCAATAATAACAATATTTTAATTACGATCAAAATTTCTTCATAATATCACTTTTAGGTATGTATAGTAGTATTTGCTTTAAAAAAATATTAGTAAATAATATTTTTTCGATCTCAGTATTTCTTCCTCATGAAATTTCTGCATTTGAAAAATATTTTGTTTGTCTAAATGGTGCTTCTTTGAATTTCAGGTTGGATTGATATGAGCGAAAGGGCAAAAAATTTGCTGAATTCAAACTTTCTGCAGACGACAAAAAGTACAAGAAAATTCCTAAAAAGAAAAATTACATATAATAATTTCAAGTGGCTGTCTGTCCCGCATGTTCTATATATATTTTGTCTCTTCGCATGTATTACTATATAAAATTCTTTCTCACCACATTTGAAGAGTGGGATATGTATCCCTTCCTTATGGTGTCAACTAGAGAGAGAGGGGGGGGAAGAAGCGGAAACTATTTTGTCAGCCCACATTTGAAGAGTGGGATATTCAGCCCTCCTTTATGGTGTCAACAAAAGAGACAAAAGTAAGAGAGAGAGAGAGAGAGAGAAGTGTAAAACAATAAAATTTTTAAATTCTCCCTTCTCTCTACTTCAATATACAAACAAAAAGGAAAATGATTTTCTTATTGGTTTACATAGATAGCGCATGTCCAATTCATTTTCAATATTTTTACTTGATAATTAGTTAGAAATAATTTTATTCAGTTTAATAATTATTAATAAAAAAATGTGCATTTATTTAATGTTCGGTAGTGTTCAACTGATTGTAAGAAGTAAAAATTTATTTTCATCTGTAAAAGTAAGTAATCTTTTTTTTATTAAACTAATTAAGGAAAAAGAAGCATAATAAGACTAAAAACTTTGGAATATAATAAATATATTGCTTAAGAAATTTTTTTCATTAGAATCGAATAAACCCATCTATTTTTATAATTTAAATATTAAAAAAATATCCTCCTCATGGTAATATTGACCACTGTCATAGCAACGGTTGCTTTAGAAATCAACTATTGCCATAGCAACAATTACCATAGCAACAATTGCCATAGCAACTATTGCCATAGCAACTATTGACATAGAAACTATTGCCATAGCAACTATTGCCATAGCAACTATTGCAATAGCAACTATTGCCATAGCAACTATTGTCATAGCAACTATTGCCATAGCAACTATTGCCATAGCAACTATTGCCATAGCAACTATTGCCATAGCAACTATTGCCATAGCAACTATTGCCATAGCAACTATTGCCATAGCAACTATTGCCATAGCAACTATTGCCATAGCAACTATTGCCATAGCAACTATTGCCATAGAAACTATTGCCATAGCAACTATTGACATGGTAGCGGTTACCATGTACGACGGACGGACGAACGCCAAAACGAAACTATAAGGCTTTCGGCCCTGGGCTACGAAACCATAAAAATTATTAAAACTTGCGGTGTACTGTAAAATTCCAAAACTTTGACCTCCTCCCCCTTGGAAAATACGGATCTATAATCTAAATGAAAAAATATTTTCACCAAAAATTAACATTTATGAGAACTACAACTGCATCGAGTGTAAGCATGTTTGAAGAAAAAATTTTTTGAACCTTGATCACTTAACGCGTGATTCCCCATTACCATTTGGATATTCAAGATATCTTAGGAATGTCCTGGGGATGACCGGAAAGTTTAACATCCCTAGGATGTCTCAGGTATATCCGTAGATATCTTGAGAACATCCTAGAAATATACAAATTTCCGGATGCGGGTAGGACGTCCATAGGATATTATTAAAAGTCCGTTGCTGTTAGGAGGTAATAAAAAATTCTTACATTAAATGTCTTTCAAACCACATGAGAATTATGTCAAGATAATGGCGTGATTAAAAATAAATCAACTATATCTACAAAACTTTGAACTAATTTTAGCCAATTTGTTATCATTTATTTTCTTACACGATACAAATACAAATTCCAATAGCAGTAACTAATGTTGCGTATATTAATAAGAATAAGAAGGGATAGAAAATTTGGATAATCTAATGTTTGCATCTGCGGTGTTCTAGGGAAAATACTCTCTTATTATTTTTGTTAACAGTGCGGATTTTAAATCACAATATTGATCATCCAACCTTTATTCCCAAAAATTATAGTTATGTATTATTATTATTATTTTTACATTTAATAAGTATAAAAAAATTGCACTAGTAATTTCAACTGATCTGCACATCGTAATGAAGCAATTTTTTATTATAATGCATAAAAAACTATAAATACATAAAAAGTCATGCAGGAGGATCGGTTACGATTTTGAATCTTTGAAATTTTGTTTGTTTAGTGTCCAGAGATTCAAAATATATAAGAGTTTTTTTCGGCATCGGGGACCAACTTTTTCTTCGTTAAAGATAGGTGTGTCAAATATAGAAGTCAAAATATATAAGAGAAAAGTCAATGACCTGGGATGCCAACACCGTTTAACCAGAGGTGCAAAAGGTCTGTTTTTCTTTATAGACACGAGTCCATACGTCTGAGAAGAGGAAAGAAAGTTTTATTTAGAGTGAATATGTCTTCCTTTCTATTAATTGTGAAATGATTTGTTTTTATACAAATCATTTCAGATATTCGTCTTTTTTTAATAATTAGATTCATTGTCCAAAATCTTTGCATTTTCCCAATCAAATTCATGATTATATTTGATGCGATGTCGGTAAACAACAGAATTTTCATTCACTTTTTTGTGTTCTTTTATACGAGTTTGCAAAGATCGTTTTGTCTCGCCTATATATGTCACTGGACAATCCTTACAATTAAACTTATACACGACATTAGTTCTATACCATTTTTTAGTCACATCCTTACCTAATCGAATGTTGGAATTACAGTTTTTATTTATAAGAGGAATTGATGCAAAATGAAATTCGTTCAGAATACTTGACAATTTAAAAAAAGATTTTTCATTAAACGGTCAAGAAACCTTCGGAATTTGACTATAAATATTAGCACTATTTTGATTGTTGTTGTTGTTATTTATTCATTCGAATTTTAATATGTTTCTTGATAAAGTCTGGAGTATAACTATTGTTTTTTAAGATTGTTTTTATCTTCTTTAAATTGTCAAAATGAAATTTTTTTTTGGACAATGAAATCGCCCTATCGACCAAATTGTACACAATATTCTTTTTTTGTTGAATTGGGTGATCTGAAAAATAATTGATGAATCTATCTGAAGAAGTCTGCTTTTGATACCAGTCTGTGATGATTTTATTATTATCTTTAATTAGTTTGAGATCAAGAAATTTTATAGAATTATTTTGTTCTTTCTCTAAAGTAAACTGTAATATTAAAATCTTAAATCTTAAAGGAAGGAAAAAAAAATAAAAATATAATAAAAAATTACAGTTTACTTTAGAGAAAGAACAAAGTAATTCTATAAAATTTCTTGATCTCAAACTAATCAAAAATTTCAAGTAATGACAACAACAACAATCAAAATAGTGCTAATATTTATAGTCAAATTCCGTAGGTTTCTTTACCGTTTAATGAAAAATCTTTTTTTAAATTGTCAAGTATTCTGAACTAATTTCATTTTGCATCAATTCCCCTTCTAAATAAAAACTGTAATTCCATCATTCGATTAGATAAGGATGTGACAAAAAAATGGTATAGAACTAATGTCGTGTATAAGTTTAATTGTAAGGATTGTCCAGTGACATATATAGGCGAGACAAAACGATCTTTGCAAACTCGTATAAAAGAACACAAAAAAGTGAATGAAAATTCTGTTGTTTACCGACATCGCATCAAATATAATCATGAATTTGATTGGGAAAATGCAAAGATTTTGGACAATGAATCTATATAATATATGATTGCCCGGAATCGAAATTCATATATTAATAAAGGAAAGGAAATGAATTAATTGTACAACAGGATTTAACAAAAACATATAACAATAATAATTTACTAATTAACTTACAATTCAGCTGAATTTATATAATCCCAAAAGAACCAAGAATCTGTGCACTCTCACACTCACTCACTAAAGTACTTCTTAAAGTTTGCAGAGACACGTCCGTTTCTATCGAGTACGCGGAAGCAATTGAATTTTAATATAATGAGAGGAACCAAGTCAAAGCGGAATAGACTATAGCGACATACGATGAACAGAATAAGGGAAACTATAGTATATTAGGGAAAGACTGTGACTATGTTACATCCCCCCTCCCCTGATTGGGACGAGTACTAAACCGAAGACAATTCATCATAGTCCGTATCAAGAACAATACAATCATCGAAGTCTACCGCCTCTGTATTATTATTCTTATCCCCGGTCTCATTTCCCACACATTCATTCAATACATTTTCACCCACTAGTGACAATTCCAACGCTTTCTGAATTTTTCCCATTTCTGGTACCAGATTCCTCTTCTTGTATCTCTTTAAATCTTTTGATGGCTCCAAATATGGGTACTGCCAATCTCCAGATCTGGAAGGACAAAACTGGTCGTGGAATAGGTACAACGCTGACCATACTTTTTTACCACAAAATCTACAGTCCATCGTTGACGTAATTTCTATCTGAAAAAAAACAAACAAAAAGAAACAAAAAACTCAAAAGAATGATTAAATAAATTGTCACAAGTCAAACGTTCGTCAAACGTCAAGTTAGGAATAAAATAACACAGGTATAAAACAATAACATTTTACAAAAAATCCTGATTTTTTTTTTTTTTTTTTAAAGAAACAAAACATAAAACTTTATTTTAATTTTCCAGTTTCATTTTCCTCCCTCTCTCATCCATTCCATCACTTCCTTTCCATTTTTCTTTCGATAGCTCTCCCATTCTTCATAATTCTTTTCTCTCTCTTGCTGCGTTGACATTTCTGCCCAATATTTGATTCTGCTTTCCCTCTTCTTCTTTAGTATTTCTTCCTCTCTTTTGCGATCATATCCTCCTTCATTCCCATTTTCCTCCGTTGTTACGCTGTCATCTTTTTCTTCATTATTATCCTCCCCTATTAATTTTGAAATTTCGTTTCTTGTTTCTAGTGCATTTATCAATTTATTCTTATATTTTATTACTTTAAATTCTAATCTTTCAATTTCCTTCTTAACTTCCTCCAACATTTTTCCTCTTTCCTCCTTTATGATCTCCTGTACCCTTTTTCTATGGTTTTCTACCTGGGTATTCATGATCTAAGAAAAAAACAACTTTGTAATTATCCCTATATCGTATATACAAGGACAATACCATGACGAGCAACATAACACTACTGAAGACGAAACAACATACGATGACTGTAAACAACATAATTCTCAATCTTGGACAAAACACTTTAAATCATTTATGTTCCAATTCCCAATCGATTTTCCTTTAATTTTACTCAGTTCATAAACTGTTGGCGAAATCTTGGAAACGATTTTAAAAGGACCATCAAATGTTTTATTTAATTTTCCCGCAATTCCTTTAGCTTTATCAGATAACGTTTTATCTCTTTTCAAAACTAAATCACCTAGATTAAATTCGAAATCTCGTCTACGTAAATTATATCGACCTGCTTCCCACGTGAAAAGGTTCCCGGAATTTTTGCAGAGTGACTCTGGGAGTAGTTCCCAGAACATTCTGAGAACATTCCCGGAATTTTTTTGGTTTTTTCCCAGAATTCATGGAATTTTCGTTTCAATCAAGTAACTGATACTCCGGGATGACTCCAACGTACATCCAGATATCCAGGAGTCAATTGGACAACTTCTCCAGGGAATTTTAGCTGTAATCAAACAGTCGATACTCCAGGATGACTCCAACGAACATCATGATGACTAGGAGTCAATTGGACAACTTCTCCAGGGAATTTTAGCTGTAAACAAACAATCGATACACCAGGATGACACCATAGTACATCATAATGACTAGGAGTCAATTGGACAACTTCTCCAGGGAATTTTAGCTGTAATCAAATAATCGATACTCCAGGATGACTCCAACGAACATCATGATGACTAGGAGTCAATTGGACAACTTCTCTGGGAAATTTTAGCTGTAATCAAACAATCGATACTCCAGGATGACTCCAACGTACATCATGATTACTAGGAGTCAATTGGGCAACTTCTCCAGGGAATTTTAACTGTAATCAAATAATCGATACTCCAGGATGACTCCAACGTACATCATGATGACTAGGAGTCAATTGGACAACATCTTCAGGAAATTTTCGTTTTAACCAAATAGTCGAGTTTCTATGACAACTCCAACGTACATCCAGATACCCAGATGTCAATTGGGCAACTTCTTCAGGGAAATTTAGCTGTAAACAAACAATCGATACACCAGGATGACACCATAGTACATCATAATGACTAAGAGTCAATTGGGCAACTTCTCCAGGGAATTTTAACTGTAATCAAATAATCGATAGTCCAGGATCACTCCAAAGTACATCATAATGACTAGGAGTCAGTTGGACTATATATATATATTGTTAAAGAGACTTCTATTAAATAAGAAATTTCGTCTTCTTCTCGTTTTTTCCCCACTTTAGTAGTCAATTTACTAAAAATACATATGAGTTTAACAAAAAGTGATACTTAAATTTTCTCCGAGTAAAATTCTCTGAAGAAGTTGACCAATACACTCCTGAGTATCCGGATGTACGTTGGAGTTGTCTTAAAAACTCGATTATTTGGTTGAAACGAAAATTCCCTGAAGAAGTTGTGCAATTGACTCCTAGTCATCATGATGTACGTTCGAGTCATCCTGGACTATCGATTATTTGAATACAGTTTAAATTCCCTGGAGAAGTTGTCCAATTGACTCCTAGTCATTATGATGTACTATGGTGTCATCCTGGAGTATTGATTGTTTGATTACAGCTAAAATTCCCTGATGAAGTTGTCCAATTGACTCCTGGATATCTGGATGTACGTTGGAGTCATCCCGGAGTATCAATTACTTGACTGAAACGAAAATTCCATGAATTCTGGGAAAAAACCAAAAATTTTCCGGGAATGTTCTCAGAATGTTCTGGGAACTACTCCCAGAGTCACTTTGCAAAAATTCCGGGAACCTTTTCACGTGGGTTGTTTTTCATTTGCTTTGTCTAAATTGTTTTGAACTTCTTCTTTTATTATTTGTAAGCGCCTTAACCTATCAGTCCATTTGTCAGTTTCCTGAAACTCGATTTCCTCGAAATCTTCGATTTCAGTACGTAATGTCTGTAAAGGTTGTAGTTCCCTACCTAAATTTAAGAACGCTGGCGTATAACCTGTTGAAGAATGTTTACAAGTATTCAAAGCAAATTGTAAATCTTCTAGATTGCAGTCGCACAATTTATGTTCCTTTTCGAGATATGCCCTAATTATTGTTTTTATAGACCTATTACATCTCTCTGTTGGGTTTGCTTGAGGATAATATTTCGGTACAAACGAATGCCTAATTCCGAATTTTTGCGCCATTTTACTAATTCCCTTATTTGAGAATTCTTTCCCATTATCTGATAATAGAATTCTAGGAGTTCCCCAACGCGAAATAATTCTTTTATGAAATTCTTCTTCAATCGTTTTACCTACCGCTTTTTTAATCGGTATTACCTCTACCCATTTTGTAAATAAATCAACAAAAACCAATATATAGCGATTTCTATTTTTTGATAATGGCAACGGTCCCATGATATCAGTTGCTACCATTGTCCATGGTTCTTCAACTAACCTCTTACCCATAAAACCTATTTTTGGCTTATTACTCGCCTTTGTTTTTTGACAAATTGGACATTTGTTAACGTATTTAACAATGTCTGAGTACAATCCTGGCCAAAAATAATTTTCTGAGATTCTATGGTAAGTTTTTTCGATACCTAAATGACCTGCCTGTACATTATCATGATTCTCAACTAAAACTTGTTTTCTTAGATTCTTGGGAATAACCAATTTCCACATTTCTGTTTCTGGTAATAATTGTGATTTCAAGGGGTCCGGTCTAAAGAAATATAATTGATTATCCCTAATTCTCCAATTAGAATTTTCCTGAGGTTTATCTATGACTAATCTAAACTTTAACTTATACCAATTATCGATATCCTGCTTTTCTTGACTATTTTCCCGAATTTCATCCAGGCGAAGCGAATCTTTTTCTTCCTCGAAAATTCTAGACAATGCATCAGGCACGACATGCATTGCACCTTTACGATAAGTAATTACATAATCATATTCTAAAAGTTCTAAAGCCCATCTGGCCAGTCTGCCTGTTGGGTTTTTAAGATTATGTAACCACTTAAGTGCCTGATGATCAGTTATTACTTCAAAAGAATAACCTTCTAAGTACGGTCTAAATTTTCTAATTGCCCAAACCACTGCCAAACATTCTTTTTCAGAGGTTGAATATTTTCTTTCAGCTTGACTTAAATTTCTGCTTGCAAATGCAATCACTACTTGTTTACCATCAATAAATTGGCACAAGACTGCACCAAGGCCTGTATTGCTTGCATCAGTTTCAAGCTGAAACGGTCTACTGAAATCTGGAGAACTTAAAATTGGAGCTGTTGTTAACAGTTTCCTAATTTTAATAACTACATTCTCCTGATCTTCAGTCCATTTCCAAGGAACATTTTTCCTCAACAATTTTTGCAATGGTTCGATTAATTCTGCAAAATGCGGAATAAAACGTCGATACCACGATGTCATACCAATCAATCGTTGTAATTGTTTGATATTCTTAGGGGTGGGAAAATCTTGAATGGGCTTAATTTTATCGTCATCGATCTGCAATCCCTTTTCGTTTACTTTAAAACCTAGATATTTAATTTCAGCGCAACCAAATTCGCATTTATCTCTATTGATAGTTAAATTTGCTTCGCGTAATCTATCTAGTACTAAATTTAGATAATACAAATGTTCTTCGAACGTCTTCGAAACAATTATAATATCATTTATGTTCAGCTTTATTTGTCGGGAGTAATTTGTCTGGAGGGATTGGTATCTTATGTTTGAGTAACTCTTCAAGTTCTTTTTGTTCACTTACAGTTAACTCAACAATACCAGAACATTTCTCATTTAATAAACTCTCATTCACTGGACGCAATAAATTACCAGAAATATTATTATTTAATATTGCACGATTTTTAAAATTAATCCAACCTAGACTTAAAGGTTTTCTAAACTTTTCCTCGCGTTTTGAATCAATTTTCGGTGTTATTTTACTAATCTCTTTTTCCGTTTTATTTATTTCTACAGGTTGTTCTTTATTCTTATTAATAAAAATTCTGGATTTTATCCTATCTTTTTTACTGATTGACCTAACCTCAAATTCAGTATCACTATCAGATTTATTTATATTGTCGTCTACAGAATCTAATATACTAAATTTATTTTTTAGTGGAATTTCCATTAATTTAGGTACTTCTTTTTTATCCAAATTTTCATTAACATTTATATTAGAATTCTTCCTAATTTCTTTTTTATTTAATTCGCCACTATTCTCATTCATTTTCAAAGTATTTTGTTTTTTATTTTTATTATCTACTTTTCGTTCACGATTTTTATTCTTATTATCCCTTTCGGAACTCGACCATCCTGTTTGAGAACTTACTTCACGGACTGTCTTTTTAAAGTTATTAGTCTTGATACTTGGTTTAACCGAATTATCTGTCTGATAATTCGATTTATCAGAATTTTCCCGAAAATTCATCGTATAATGAATTTCTGGAAATTCTGCAAGCCACCAAGTATTATTTTGAAAATTTAATGTCATACCGGTTTTTCTCATTAAATCGATACCTAAAATCGCTTTTGTCTCTATTTCCGGTACTACTCTAAAAGATAAAATATCTTCGAATGTTCCTATTCTAACTGGAATTTCTACTTTTCCTAATATTTTAACTCTTATACCGTTTGCTACTATTAAATTTTCATTATCAGGTCTAATTAACTCAATTCCGTAATTTGATAATTTTTCGAATAACTCTTTTCCTATATACGAATTTGTTGCTCCTGTATCTATTAGTGTTTTACAAGAAATGTCGGAAAAATTCACATCCACAAAAAATCTCGAATCTTTTAATAAGGTTTCGCATTTTTCGGGCTCTGAGTTTTTCTTGGGGAGTACTGTGGCCACCAATACCCCCTCTACTCGTTTCCCTGTTTTAAAAATTTTCTACATTCCCTTTTGAAATGTCCTACCTTACCGCAAAAGTAACATTTATTTTTTGAATCTTCTGTGTTCTGATTATTAAGACGGATTTCTTTTTTATTTTCTGATTCTAACTCTTCAATTTTTTCTTTACCTTTATTTTCCTTCTTTTCATTATTTCCATCAGTTATTTGTTTCACTTCCTCCGACGGAAATGTGATTTGTGGTTGGTTATTTCTATTATTTTGCCAATAATTGTTTTTTCCCTGATATCTATTAAATTTTTTACCCCAAGTGTTTTTTTGAAAATTTTTCTTGTTTTGATTAGAGTTTTCCTCTACTACTTTCTCTTTAGTTTGCTCCTTCTTTTTCTCAGTTGTAATACTGAGTACCTGACCCCTAATTCTAGATTTATTTATTTCGGTTTCAAAAATTTTCCCTAAATTTTCTAACTCCTCGAAGGTCTTAAAGTCATTTCGTCTTATATATAATTTGTATTCTAACCTTAAATTTTCATATGCTTTCCTAAGTTCCCATTCCAAATTTTTTCTGGGATATAACTTAGTAAACAGTTTCCTTATTCCTGTCAGAAATGAGTGAATTTTTTCACCTTCTTTTTGATTATGGAATTTAATTTTTGATATTATTTCTTCGTACAATCTTTCATCCAAGAATATTTGTTTAAAATTCTCTTCGAAATCTTGCACTGTCTTCCAATTCCTTTTAGAAATTTTATACCAATCCAACGCTTCATCCTGGAATACAGCATCCAGATTTTCGAGCAGATCACATTGTCGTATGTGATATCCTCTTTGAAATCTGAATAAATCCTCCAAGAATTGTGCAGGACTGTCATCTTTATTATTTCTAAATTTTACTGGCCAATTCGCCATTATTTGGAATGGAGTTTGAATCATTCCAAATGGAAAAGGAAAATTTTGAATTTCCTCTCGATCATAACAACTGTTTTGCTCTTCATGCGAATCTTCTCGATTAAAATTTCCACGATTTTCTCTAAGCCTTCGTTGAACTTCCCCTTCTAATCTAGAATTCTCTTTTTCTAACTCTTTTCTTCTATCGTCAAGTTTTTTTATTTCTATTTTACGCAAACTAATTTCATCTAATTCTAATTCTTCTAATTTTCGTGTTTGTCCTAATCTAGAAAGTTTATTATTTATTTGTTCTTCTATTTTCTTTTTAATCATTTTTTCTACATTGTAGTCCACTTTTCTTTCAAAATTTTCTCTTACTTTTATACTCTCTGGACTACAATATCCTGCCTGTGATTTTCTATTTATTTCTTTTAATTGTTCCGCTCGCTCTTTAATTTTTTGTCTCAATTCTAATTCTTTACTTATTTTTTCTTTCGGTGAGCTACTACCTATCGGTTTATATTTTTCCTGAACTAACAATCTATGTTCCCGTTCTAATTCCATTTGCCTATTTCTTAACTTATTTTTTTCCTCTGTTAAAAATGCATCATATTTCAACCACTCTTCCCTTTCTTTATTTAATCTTTTGTTGGTTGAAATAAACGAACCTATCTCGAACGTTTTTTCTTCTGTTAAATTATTTATTATATTTTCAGAAGAAATTCCCTTATCTAGTATTTGATCCCTATTTCTTTCTTCAAATACTTTTTTAATCGCACCTTGATTTTCGGTTTCGATTATCTCTTCTAATTGCCTATTCAGTCTGTCAAATTCACTTTTTTTATTTAATTTGACATATTCCGCCGGTAGTGAAAAATTTTTTTCTTTCTCTATTTTTCTTTTTTCCTCACCTACTCTTGTTCTGTCTACTCTCGCATTATCTAATTTTTCTTGGGAAACCCAACCTATAAATTTTTTAAATAATGTATTATTTTTTATTTTCTCCCCAACTGTCATCGCTTTTGCTTCATTTCTTGTACTTTGAAGCTCAGCTGGAAGATCATTTAATGAAAATATAGTCTCCGTTTCACTATCACTATCATTTTCATTTTCATTTTCTAAAACCTTTTCTATTTCCCTATTTACTCTTTCTAAATCATTGTCCTTTAATTCCTGTCCCCTCATTCTCTTAGGTACTTTATTATTTTTAAACTCACTTTTATTACCTTCACTCCGTAATTTGTTAATTTGAACATTTAACAAATTGTTTATTTTATTTATTTCACTTTACCTCACTTTTATTTGTTAATTTATAAAATCAACAAATTTATTTTATTCTCACTTTTTTTAAAAAAAAAAAAAATCAATTTATTCTTTACTGTTACTTTCTACTTCAGAAAACTCGGATCGTTAATCGAGAATTTTCCAAAAATAAATTTTAACAATTTTGTAAAACTGTCAAAACTATTTTAAAACTGTATAATTCTCAATATCCGAATTCACTATTATTCAGCAACAACTATCGAACAATTCAAAATTCTGTCAAAAATTTAAAATTTAACATTTAATAAAAATTTTCAAAAATCAAATTTCCAAAATTCAAAAAAAAAAAATAAAAAAAATTTTACAAGTTTTAATAAGTTCAATTTCCCAAAATTAAAATTAAAAAAAAATTCACAATTCCGAAATTCCACAATTGTAACTCCGCAATTCTAAAACTCAAAATTTCGCAATTCAAAATAAATTCAAAATTCACAAATTAAATTTCAACTATTATGTCTTTACATTATCACAATTCATAAAATTTTACAAGTTGAAAATTCACTATTTAAACTCAAAAATTTAAAACTGCACAAATTCAATACTTAAAATCTCAACATCCAAAATGTCAAAATTCAAAAATTCAAAATCTCAAAGTCCAAAAATCAAAACTTCGATTTTCAAAAAAAATTAAAACTTCAAAATTCCAAAAAACTAAAATTCTGAAATTCAACACACAAAAAAAAATTTTAATTTAAATTAAAATTATTCAACATTTAAAATTCACCACTTTTATTTTATTCACTTTCACTTAAAAAAAAATTTATTTGCTGTGAAAAGAAAAATTTTCATTTCATTTTCTTATAGTTGTCATCCTATTGAACACTTTTCGCGTTTTTATTTCGTCACCCTGTAGAGTTTGCTGTCCTTATTAATTTTTCTCTGTCTAAAATTTATTTTATTTCAAGGTTCAAATACTTTCTGACACCTTGTATATAAAGTTTTATTTCCGAGATTTTAATTTCCTAACTATTTCTTAATTTGATTCTTTTTCCTCAAATTCTCTGAAATCAAAACACAGCGCGTCCTTGAACTTGTACTAATACTAATTCACTTTCCTTCGCGCGTAACCGTAATTTTTCTATCTCCCTTTTTTCTATCCTATCAATCTCTTCTCTCACTTTACTTTTTGAATTTCGTTTATTAATTTTTTGTTTTTCACTATTTTTATAAAAAAAGAAACTTATTTCATTTATTAAAATACACTTTCCTGAAATGTTAAAATATTAATACACATATACATATATAATATAATTCAATTTTTACAATTATCAATTTACATGTACATATATTATTTCAAAAATTATTACATTTATACATATAACTAATTTCTAAAATTCAATCCTATTATACTCAACACTTAACAGGAAGAAAAAATTATTTGGATTGTGGATATTCAGGCTTCTTACATTTATAACAATTTCTAAGTTCTTGTAAGAACTTTGTTTGAAATTTATTATTAACGTAAAAATTCAAATTTCTAGGATTGGTTTACGTTGGGCGCCATATAATATATGATTGCCCGGAATCGAAATTCATATATTAATAAAGGAAAGGAAATGAATTAATTGTACAACAGGATTTAACAAAAACATATAACAATAATAATTTACTAATTAACTTACAATTCAGCTGAATTTATATAATCCCAAAAGAACCAAGAATCTGTGCACTCTCACACTCACTCACTAAAGTACTTCTTAAAGTTTGCAGAGACACGTCCGTTTCTATCGAGTACGCGGAAGCAATTGAATTTTAATATAATGAGAGGAACCAAGTCAAAGCGGAATAGACTATAGCGACATACGATGAACAGAATAAGGGAAACTATAGTATATTAGGGAAAGACTGTGACTATGTTACATCTAATTATTAAAAAAAGACGAATATCTGAAATGATTTGTATAAAAACAAATCATTTCACAATTAATAGAAAGGAAGACATATTCACTCTAAATAAAACTTTCTTTCCTCTTCTCAGACGTATGGACTCGTGTCTATAAAGAAAAACAGACCTTTTGCACCTCTGGTTAAACGGTGTTGACATCCCAGGTCATTGAATTTTCTCTTATATATTTTGAGTTCTATATTTGAGTAAATTTCAAATTTAATTCAGTTGACACTAAACTGTCGCGTAGAAATGTCTGTATTACTTTTAATTATTTTCAATCGAAGTTTTAATTATACTTGTGAATTTTTTAAAAATGTGTGGAATATTTTGATAATGACATGGTGAAATGTGTATTATATTTTAACAAATTAGGTAGGATTATTTAATTTAATTTTTAATCGACATTTAAAAGGAAGAACCCCCCACTTTAGAATTCACAGAGCGTTTTTAATGAAAGTTGGCACACTTATAGATATTAGTTTGAAAAAAATGTACTTAAATTTTTAGAGGTCGAGGTTGACTCTGACAGAAGTTATAAGCAATTTTATTTTTTCACATTTTACATGCTGTCTTATGAGAAAACGCACTTTCATGATCTTTGAAATTTAATTGTGTCATATATGACAGAGAGATATTAATAAAACTTTTTACAGTTAAAGTTAAACAACCAATGATTAGATAATTTCAAAAAAAATGATCATACCTTACCTGTGAGACTTAAAATTAATTATTTTGTATAAAAAACACCCTTTTTTATCAATCAGCATTTACTAAGCACAACGCTTGGCATCGTTGCTTCTTAAAGGTTAGGGTAAGAAAGATGCGCGAAATTTCGAAAGTAACATAGATCGTATCTAATACTACATATCATATTTTTAATAACAATTTTTTTTAAAAATAATTTAATTACCTTTCTTATTTATAAATTTAATATAATAATACAAGTATAATAGAATTTTCAATAGAAAATTTTGAGAAAAAGTTTACTTTTATCAATAACAATTATTTTAATAATAAAATCATTAAAAATTTTAAAGCATGTCTAAAATTAATTAGTAATTAATTAGTAATTTTATTATACATTAATTACTAATTAAACATATTAAATAAATTTGCAAATAATAAATGATAAATTAAAAAATTTAATAAAACAAAATTTAAGAAATGTTCACAAGAACCGCAAAATTTATTGATGTTTAAAAAAAATGAACTGTTAGGTGAAATATGAAAAAAACTATTAATTTCAGTATATTTAATTTTTTTTAATTTCAAGTTTTTATGGTTAAAAAAATATAATTTATTATGTTTTATAACAAGCATACATTTTGGTTTGTTATAAAGAAAATGAAACACGAATTTTATTTTTGGAGAAATATATTTTTCTTGATGTCGTATTAGGTTAAATCACAGTTAATATCACAGGCACACAAAAAATAAAAAGCTGTTTGGCCGAGACACTACACTAGTCTATTTCCATGTATTTTTTCACGCTGAATCCGAATCCAAAGTCAGAATTATCAGATTGGCTTTTATTTTTGAGATAAACTCAAAAAACTGCTCAGAAAGAAAAATAAAATCAAAAAGTTAAAAAAAATTTGAATGTCACTGCGATAGTGTAATTCCATGTATTTTTTGTCGTTGAATCCGAATCCAAAGTCAGAATTATAAGATTCGCTCAAATTTTTGAGATAATTGCAAAAAAACCCAAGTAACAAAAAACTCAAAATCAGTTTTTTGGAATTATCTTCAAAATTTGAGCCAATCTGTCAATTCTGACTTCGAATTCAGATTCAGCGTGAAAAAATACATGAAAATGTACTATCGTAGTGTTTCGGCAAAAAAATTATCTGCGCCCCTAATTCAGAATTTTTATCAGTTTTTGGCGATTTTAGCTCAAAGAAATTTTTTTTTGCCGAAGCATTACGATAGTCTATTTTCATGTATTTTTTCACGCTGAATTCGAATTCGAAGTCAGAATTGACAGATTGGCTCAAATTTTGAAGAATATTCCAAAAAACTGATTTTGAGTATTTTGAGTTTTTTGTTACTTGCCTTTTATTGCAATTATCTCAAAAATTTGAGCAAATCTAACAATTCTGACTTTGGATTCGGATTCAGCGACAAAAAATACATGGAATTACGCTATCGCAGTGACATTCAAAAATTTTTTAACTTTTTGATTTTATTTTTCTTTCTGACCAGTTATTTGAGTTTATCTCAAAAATAAAAGCCAATCTGATAATTTTCGGGATTTTTAGAAAAAGTGCACCATGAGCTACAGTTTTCGTGTTTATTGAAACAATGATACGGAATGTTTCGAATTGCCTTCGACAAATTTTCGCAATCTCCTTTATTTTGTGCAATGGAATAATTGAAACACTTTTGAAGATAATTGATTGAATCATTATTAAGCTCTTTATATTTTTTTCTGGATTTTGTAGAGTTCATTTTTCAAACCTTTGCTCGTGTGGTTAGTATCGCTTTGTTTGATTATGTCATGTGTGCTTGCATTTCGTGCAGCACAAATTGCAGTGCTATCATTATCACCGATCATAACACCAACCTCTACATTGCATATTCAAGATTGGATTTTTTGCAATAAGATCTATTGCTCCTTGAGGTTCCATCGCCTTCGCACTTCCCTCAAAATTTAATCGGCAGTCGTGGTCGTCCTTGGGATGTCCGCGCTCACACATCTTACATTTTCGATTATAAGTCGCATACGAAATAACTTTTTTAGAAAAAACTCCTATAAGCGACGAAGTACCGGAAATACTGTCGTAAGATCGACCTGTTCCTCTAGTAAACCATCCCGTATCAAAAGAAGCAGCAACGCGTACTTTCATATTATTCGACGGAATATCTAACATTTCTACGTCATTTGGAACATCGGGAAAAATAAAGTCAAGATTTAAATCTTTCGGCCTGAAATAACATAACATGTTTAAGTAAAAAAGCAGAAAAAAAAGTTTCACAATTTATTTATTTATTAAGAAATAGTTTTACATTTTACAAGAATAGTAATAATAGTTAGTAATAATAATAATAATAGTTATACATTTTACAATAATACAAAGTGCATATAATTCATTTATTATAAAAAAGTGTTACCTTTTTTTAAAATTAAAAATGTCATGTGTTCAAGAAAAATTTGAAATTTTTTATACATTAAAAATATTGCATATTATAAGATTGAATATATAGTTAATAATTGATTCCATGAATTAATAAAAAAATTAATATACATTATAGAAGTATAAAAGATTCTTAAAATAATGAATAAAAAATAAAATTAAAAGTTAATTAAAATTGATATTAGAACATTTTTTAAAACACTAAAATAGATAGAAATATACTTTAATACATAAAATTCAGTAAAAAAGTAAAATAACAAAATTGTAATATCAAGTAATATTATAACTTTTTCCAAAAAGTGAAAAATAATTTAAGGTTAGAAACATTTAAGAAAAGTTTCAAATTAAATTTAAATCCATTGATTCTATAAATTGATAAAAAATGTAAATAAAAAGTAAATTATTACATGAGTTATATAAATCAATAAATAAATAAATCAAAAAGGTAAAGTTGATCAAAAATTTGCCAATTACAATTATAATTGTATAAAATGCATTAATAAATAGTATATGATTACCAAATATATGTCTTGAACAATTTATAAACTAAAAAACTTACAACAATTGTTTTATTTTCTCAGAATTTTCAATAGTTAGTTGTCTTTCTTCATTGGCTGCTTTTAAACAACTGTCATGTGCCATCTTTTCTGTTTCAACTCCCACTTCTTTTTTGTGTGATTTGAAAACATCCCATTTGAATTCGGGAATATTTGCAGACGTTAGAACATTGTTTAAATGAGTACTGCCCATTCCTGCATTCAATGTGCCTATTGAAATATAACAAAATATCAATGTAAATATCCTTTACAATAGAAAAAGTGAAATTATAATTATTTATTCTTACCAACAACAACTTTTGTGTTAACATCAAAATGTTTATGTTTGCCGGAAACAATGTGCTGTTTATCAGATGAAACTTGAGTGAATAAACAACACTTTCTGCACTTTACGCAAAAGACAGACGCTAAACCAAACCTTTTTTCACTAACAGTATCTGTTAAAGACAAAATTGAATTATAATTGCCACAAAACAATTGTTTCGATAAGGATTTCAGGTGAATTATTCGTCTGTCTTCATTCTGTTCACTGTTTTCGTTTTTGAGGTTAGATTCTCTATTGGTAGTTCCATAAACACTACGAAGGTTTTTTCCCACCTTCTGCAGCCTACTGCGGTTCTCGTAAACTTTTTGAGTAACTTTTTTACCCTTCCAATAATAACTTTTTTATGTTTTCACAGAATTTTCTGCTAATAAATTTAATTCCGACATAATTAAAATATTTGCAGTCGACACGAAGTAAAACGGGGGAGAAACAAATACAGTGTTGCCAAGCGTTGCATTAGCACTACGTGATTCAAATAAAAACTTAAATGGACATTGTTTTGATTCGCAATGCAAAAGGGGTACCTTCTTAAAAATAGTGCTTTAGACATATATAAATATTAAGGTTTTTTGTGTTTAATAAATTTAGCCTGATGAGGTTGGCAAACCTGGGCCAACGAAACGTCGATATACTGACGATACACTTTTGAATTTATTCAAAAAATTTTTTACCTTCCCACGATCATTTAATTTTATCAACAACAATACAACATGGAAGGATTTAACTCTTATTTATCAAAGAATTTAGTAGTTGTTGTCATAAGGGTAAAGTAAAGTTAGATGATTTAACTGCTTATCCTGATGAATTAATTAAATTGTTATATGACTCCACGTGTGAAAGCAAAAACTTTAAAGAGAATATACGTTGGTATAATAACACGTTAGCTTTTGCGAGTATGGGAGCTCAATTA